GTATGAAAGGACGTAAACGCTACGATTTCAAGCTGAAGGGAAATGCGTGGCGCATCCCAAAACGGGCTTGAACAACGTCGAATGTTTTACTATTTCTTTTTTCAACATTCATGAATACCATAGAACTTTGAAGGCCTTTCTAGAAAAGGTTATGGGAAACATCGCTTCAAAGCATCATACAGGTGAAGTAAATGGCCCAAAGAAGTTGCTTAAATCATTTCCAACCTCATTCATTATCTTCCGCAGGCTTTCGTCTGTACATGAACCATCACCCCTGCCTCCTTTCTTCCTCAGTCGAGCCATTGGGATTGAGACGGCAACTTCTGGAATCAATAACATTCAATACTCATTACCTAATCGTAAGTCGAAAGGGAAAAGGTAAAACTTGCCTGGTTGCTCAGTGGCATCGAATGAAATCAATGCAAACGAAAGGGTCAAAAGACCAGGGAAAAGGAGCACTCGACGCATCGGTACGAAGTTGGCGCTTGCGCTTAAGACGATAGTCCGAGGATTTCCGCTGTTTGTGTATGGTGAACACTGTCAAAATCCCCGATGACGTTTGCAAATAGGAGCCATTCGCTTAGGTGACCGAGGATTTGGCGAAAAATTGATGATACGAATCCTATTTGTGAAGTTAGTATCCCTTTCCTTCCATTAAAAATTGATATGTTCTCAATAGTAAAATTAATCAGAGATCAGTCCAAGAACGACTTTCTCTTAATCTTGGCATGGAAGTTGGTGCGAATAGTTTTGCTGTAGCCTGACCAAGATTTCAGAATCAGGGATTACTACTCCGAAGAGTTTCAACGATAAATATTGAAAAATTGTTGAAATGGTGCAGTGACAAGTGGCGCTGTTTGAAGCCCAGGTGTAGTGGTGAAATCTTCGATCGTATGTTGTCCAGGTCAGCTGGGTCTTCCATCCCTCTGTGGTCAATCATTTGGTTGCAGAAATGTTCGGGAGGCCAACAAGGTCAACTGTACCATCGAATAGATCAGGGCGGCACCCGCAGTCCGGGGATCAAATCCTGGGTCGTGAGTCGCCCGGGCCAACCAAGCCTTCCATCCCTCCGGGGTCGGTTAATTGGTACCAGACTTGTCTGGGAGGATAAAAACACTGACTTGTACATCGGCTGGCCCCCGCAAGTCATTGTATAGGCCACATCGCATTCAAACGCCACTACGAATGTACAAATGGAAGTAGAATGCGTGCCGCATCCCAAAAAGGGATTGATCAACGGCAAATGCTTTATCCTTATCCTTTTAATGCGTAACCCATAAGGCTATTTTTTGGTGTTTTGGGAAAAACACAAACAAAGATGGGTAACTTGGGATGGCCACTTCGCGATTTCTGAAATGGAAGCGAATGCGCGACGCATCTGAAAAATGAACAGAGTCACCGCTTAGTGCTTCAAGCTGTTTCACTACGTGACTATCGCCGGAGTATCCCACCAGTTGCAATTTTGAAATCGTTCGTTAACGCTCGATTTTTCTAGCTTCTTTCCTGGCTGAGTTTTTTTCTTTTCTTTTGTGAATTCATCAACGCGTTGAGCTCCTTTTGCGCAACCACAAGAACACATGCAGAGGCAGGCACGGTGCAAATATGGCTTTCGCATCGTGGTCACTACTTCGACGGCGAACTTCTCCTCCCACAATTAGCTTGCCATGTCAATGCTGAAAATAAGCGAACAAAGCATTTGCCATTGCTCAATCCCCTTCTGATGCAGCAGCACATTCCTACCCTCCATTTGTACATCGTAGTAGCTTTTGAATGGTCTGTGTGCCTCATTAGCATAGACTGCGGGCTGGCTCAAGGCTTGAATTGTAGATGTGGTCAGTGTTATTTTAGCGCTCCAGATTATGTTTTTATCCTCTGCAGACCAAAGTTTGGTACAAAATCAACCAACCCCGCGTGGACAACAGGCTTGGTTGGCCCGCAGCTCGACCTTTTTTTTTGCAACGACTCAGGATTTCAGCCGGACCGATGCAGGTAAAGCGTGCCACTTGCCACAACACCTCTTGCGCCCTTTCCCGTCATACGAAATCACCATCGCGAAAAATATTTCGAACGCTACAGAAAGGTAGCCCCTTCGCACCAACGCTTTAACCAGTGCGAGATTTATATATTATATTTATTTATTTATTTATTTATTTATTTATTTATTTATTTATTTATTTATTTATTTCATTTATTTCCTATTGCACTCAAGGTGCTCTTAGACAATCGGCATGTGTATAAATACAAAGTTGACTGCTAGAAAAATTCAACAATTCAAAAACAAAAATTCGATTATGCGTAACTTGTAGCGCGATTGCCCGGTAATGGAGAGGTGCGGGTTCGAGTTCGCCTGGGGCGAAATTGGTGTTCATAATCCAGTATTCTTGTGGAACACACCACTACCTTTTCTGGGAATTTTGGCCTTCGTCAACCCCGATTACGACCCTTGAAAACCCTTCATTAACTGCAGAATGAATGCTTGACCCTTTGCATGTATAGCAAATTATTGTAACAACAGAGCTATTTTCCTGATCAGCTGTGGGAAGGCAAAAAACGGCACGAGCCTTACGACGATGTGCTATGGACAAGGGAGCTCCTATCAGGGTCAACCGTCACGTTGGACCAATTTCGAAAATTTTACGACCCCCTCCCCCTTCTAGAGGGCCTCGATACGACCCCCCTCAGGGTTAACCCTTCACGACCATCCTCCACCACCCTCGCCTGCCTGCCATCGCCATCATGGGGGCGATTCTATAGTATTTGATTCTGAGACCAGTCGACACAGCCCAACTCCGCCCACTTTTCCCTCCAAAATTGCCGTCGAGCGGGGGGGGGGTATATATCGAATGTGAAACGGCAAAAAAATTTTCACACTATTTTCGCACTCAAAATCCCAGCCAACAACCTAATCCGCTCTCCATTCCATTAGAAACTATCCCTTCCCCTACTGCATTGACGCCAACTCGCAAACACGACCCCTCCCCCATCTTTTCCATCCACCAAATACGACCCCCACCCCCTCGTTGGACAAAGTCCAACGGACGATTGACTCTGGCTCGTATCTTTCAGGTCAGATGACATTCCGCTGCTGATCATACAGAAGAGAATTCGCGGTACTCTCCTATTTGGGAGCCACTTTATGGCTAATTTAGTGACTAGCACGCTTCTTGCCGCTCTCATCTGTTCATTAAACCACAAACAAAGAGAACACAAAGAAAGAAAGCTTCATTCTGGTGTTTACAGTCAATTGTTGCCCTAGGTCGAGGTAAAAATGGTGATGTTATTGTTCTTCAGAATCGTGTAATTACAAATTTGTCTTCATTGTCTTCCACTTGCGGTACCTGAAAGTGTTCAAAGTCAATTCTGAAACCTATGAGCAACGTCAAATTCCACAGATGTTCACCTCAACCACTGTCGTTTTGCCGTTTGGTCGTCGATCGTTCTCGGTTGTTGCTTCACAAGCCACAAAAGTGCCTTCAGATTTTTCCACACTTATGCAACCTCTGTGTTCCTCACAACTGGCTTCGCTCATGGTATTTAGGCCAATCAGTGACAAATTCAGAATACATTCTTCTACCTGAAACTGGAGGCTTTTGGCCTTAATTTTGAATCTTTTGCCCCGACAAACTGATTTGTTGGGTCACAGCGGTCGATAATTATTTGGATGCCAAGCTGACTACAGAAAAAAGAAGAAGCAAAGAAAACCGTCGATGAAGCCCTAACAAGGATTCCCCCGAAAAAGGAAGGGGCGGGGCCGGACGAGTTGTACGAACTTGCCTGCTCCACGGCTCAACTAACCCGCGCGTATTTGAATTAGCCGCTACGCCGTAATCCACGTTGCGTGTCATGGGGTGTGCGCGACGTAACTCGTCCAAATGCTAAGATTAGTCGCCAAAAGCTGACTTTGTAAGACCCTAGCGCCATTGTCGCGCACTTTCGAGCCGCGACAACGGCACATCTGTGATACTCATGGCTACTCTATCCCACTCACTGAATAGATTCTTCGCCACGACTTCTGCTGAGGATGTCTCTTTAGGAAGCATTCTTTCGAAGGCGCATTCTATGTTCATGTGGGTAGACTCACTTGGAGTACCACCCCGTGGCGAATCCCTGCTCACAAAGTGCCAAAGAGGAGGGACGCGTAAATGAGGAAAGGCAATGCACAAAACAGCACAGGTAAATATCCGGAATTTTTTGAAAAGTTTTAAATGAAAGCAAATAACAAAGAGGTTAAATTTCCTCATTTACTTGACGCGCATGTAGGTGCCCTACTCTATTTTGGGTGATTGCAGTACAGCCAATTAGGTCGACCGATAGTTTAAGCCGTCCTTTCCTTCAGGTAGAAAATTTCCCTCTGAAGTCCCATGTTTTTTCATCATTTTGCCAGCGATTCGGGCCTGCTCCTTAGAAATATTCACTTTTCTTCTACATTTAGTGTAAATTCTCAAACTCTAGGCTTTTGAACCGAGAGGTCCAGTTGAAGAACTCAATACATGGGGTAGACAAGAAATAAAGTTTTGTATTCAAATCAATCAACCGCTTTGTTTAGTAGACTACAGGATTGGGTTTGGGTTCAGGATCAATCCTACCGTCGGTACTTTTTGGAAATTTTTACGACCCCTCCCCTCCCTTTCGGGGTCTTGATACGACCCCCAGTGAACAGTGAGTACGGAAAGGTTAGTATTAATACCCTCCGGGAAACTCCGTGGCGTGTGAGTAGTTCCCGTTTTCCTCGGTGTTCCTGCCCCATTCAAAAAAAAAACCTCAATGGACTTTGCACCTGCCTCTTTGGAGGGTCATAAATTGCTCCAAATTCAAGGTTGTGCGGTGATGTAGAAGATCAAGAAAAGCTGAATAATAAAAAATTAGCGCGTTTGTACTTTTTTCCATGCACATGCGAATTTTTGACCTTCAGACGACCACAACTTCATTTACTAATTTGAAGCCGAAGCCAATATGACAAACTTCGAGGTTCAAGCTTTCTATGTAGTGCCGAAGCTTAAGCCAAAGCCACCGATTCAAAAATTATACATGTTGGGAGTTTTTTGGAGGGCAGTCTTCAAGCCATTATCTCAAAAGTGCGGGTTTTTAGGTCTCAACGGTCGTATGTAGCTTCAGGACCGATTTCGTGTAAAGACTTTGAGTGTGCTAGAAAAGTACAAGTATGCACTTCAAAATTCCTCCGAGCCTTTGTGGAAATCCGTTCTACCAGAAAATCTTCTTTTGTAAAATTTTCTTTTTTTTCAAGAAGTCCGCCATTTGTACTACTGCTATTTTCCTCGTTTTATTACTCCCAGAACACTGGAATACTTTTCATTAGAAAAGAAAACCATTAAAAGCAAAATAATTAATACGGTTCGCCTTTCGCTCCTCCTCAGACGCGAACCTTATTTATTGAAAAAAAAAAAAACAAAAAAACAAAAAAACTGTTATTTGTTACTATTAACTTGAAATAAGAGCGTTTTGCAGTAACAATCCCTGCCGTGGTGTGCGCCGTGCTTCTTATTCGCTGATGCACTTCAATACCGATATCGCTTCCCTCTGCTGTTCGCCGCGGTTACGACCACTTCCCCCCTCGTGGATTAGCTACGCCCCCCCCCCCCTCTTAAGTACTCGCCAACGGTTGATCCTGCTTGGGTTACTCTAGTGGGGCGGATGGCGTCAGGAATTTATAATAGAGAGAACGACGCATTTCGAAACTATTTGGATTGGTATGTCAGGATCATTAGTGTTAGGTACCCTCCCCTTCAAAAAGCCAGAAAGTGTCGGGTGCAGACCAAACACCACAACTGACGACGGCCTCCAAGTAAATCTGGTTAGTAGTGGTTCATAGTGATAGCTGATTTTTAGTAAATGATAGTTGTAATTAGTGTCAACTGATCGAATACAACTGTAACAGGTTAATCATTTCATTGGCAAAAAACATTTGCATTTTCTGGTCGTCACTTGTGGTGTATGGTCTGCACCCGACACTTTCTGGCTTTTTGAAGGGAGGATATGTTGAGTACCCTAACAATTGAGGTTTGGACCAACTTCGAAATATTCAATCTGGGAATACCCTCCGAAATCGTGAAAGTCTATATTTTCAGAAAAAATGTCCTTTGCAACGTGAAATCGTTTTAAAGGTCCCAATCAGAATTTTTAAATCGAATTTCATTCCTTTTTTGATTTTCAATCAATTTTTTTTGAAATTTATGAATAAAAAAACAGTAAACGACTCGATGAAGTTATCATATTGAATGTGGCGACAACATTTACTTACTTATTTACTCATTTATCCATTAGTAGAAAGAACTCACAAAGTATTCAGGTAACTGCACTACAGTCGGTTGTGTGCTGGTGACCTCCGCAGCCTCTTCGTTCACTTTCTCCAGCAACTTCTGAATAGGAAAATGTTACTGCTTATGTACTAGGTTACTTTCTATATTCATGATTGTTACAGTAACAATAAATTGAACAGAAAGGAAGTCACGAGTCTGGAGACTTTTCCTCTTCGCAGTGAGTTTTATGGGTAGAGTATATTGGAACCCTTTTGACATGAAAAATAATGATTGGTGGAAGTGTTGTAAGAGGTCCTACATCACACTTGTTGATTTAGACGAGCTGCGTGGCCAGCAGCTTCGAATGGGGTATCTCGACTAAAGCGTACTTTGGCATGGTGCCATCAAACGCGTTGCGGTGAACTCGTTCATAACTCCACTTTCTGAGCTGTTACCTGTTCATGAGTGAAAACCAACGGCCAAAAAAGGGGTCCCGTTTTCGTTTTCTTGACGGATTTTTCTGCTTTTTTCGCCACTGGCGTACCATTGAGCACCACCACGTTACAATAAGCCCTTCTTGAATTTTTCGTAATCGCTGCCTTTAAATAAAATATGGATAAATATAAGCGTAATCAAAAGAGTTGTAAAATGTACTAAAAATAAAGTAAGATTTTCACAAACCATCCTCGGTTTCGGAATGGGAAATTGCTGCACGGAAGACGGAAAAGGCGAAGGAAGTCGCTCTTGAACCTGAATGGACACTTTGAGCACCGAAATTCTCATGTTTTAGGCACTTCAGGAGCATTTCAGGTAGTTGTTTGGAGCAACTATCCTTTTCCTCCCCTTAATTGGACCCTCCTATCCAATCACGAATATGGTATTTACAAAAGTTTCCTATTCAAGATAAGGTCAACCAGCACATGAAGGACTTTTCTGGTTCGATTACGTAAATTATAACCACAAAAAAGACGAAACTGTCAACGTTGCT